TATGATAAATGGAAGAATGCAAAAGTAGTTCCAATTTTGAAACCGGATAAAAATCCAGCTGAAGCTTCTAGCTACCACCCAATAAGTTTGATTTCTTCAATGAGAAATAGAAAATTTTGAATAGAATAATGCTTCACGACAATACGAGCTCAATTTTTGCAGATGAGCAGTTTGGATTTTGCCATGGGCATTCAACTACTCATCAACTCTGAAGAGTTACCAATTTAATTCGTTCAAACAAATCTGAAGGCTGCTCAACTGGAGTTGCTCTTCTAGATATAGAAAAAGCATTCGACAGTGTTTGGCAAGAAGGTTTGATTGTCAAATTGAAGATGTTAAATTTTCCATTCTATATTATGAACTTAGTTCAAAATTATTTAAGTGACAGAACTATGCAGGTAAATTATCAAAATTCTAATTATTAACGACTACATGTTAGAGCAAGAGTTTCTCAGGGTAGCTTTCATGGTCCTATATTGTATAATATTTTCAATTCGGACCTCCCTGATTTGCCTCAGGGTTGCCACAAATCTTTGTTCGCTAATGACACAGGCATTTCCGCTAGAGGAATATATATTCGTGTTACTATATTTGCGGCAGACTGCAGAATAGTTTACATATTTTCTCTTCTAGAAGTAGTCACATAGTCACTATGAACGGAGTTCCAATTTCTTGGTCAAGTCAAGTGAAATAGCACAGCATTCACTCGGCTGTAGGCAGAAGCAGCCTACATGCGATCGTCTGTTTACGGCAGCAACCATTGTGTGGTCCTCCTCATTGTTCTTCATCAGCAGTTCTTTCGGTCGATGCGTCGTCGACTTTGGAAAGTAACCATTTCGTGATGATTATGTGAGGGATGACCATGTTTTGCGCCCATTGCTGTAATGGATGCGCTCTTCCCCCCCGTTGGCGCTACTGCCATACAATGAAGTGACTGGAAGTGGCTCCGGTTGTTATGGAGAAGGCTTATTGACCTTTCTGATGTTTATAACACGCACACTTGCGTAATCCCATTTTCAAGAGCGAAGTTTGTGATCCTACCTTTTGCTTCAGCCAAAAATGTTGGTTTGTTATTGCTATCCTCACTTTCGGACCATCAATACTCGTGCGCGTAGAATGGACTATTGAATAGCGGAAGATAAAGTGTTTATTGTTTTGAACCTTTTGGCTATATTTTTAAGGTGTGTTGTATAGTGAACAAGAATCATCGGCTCTGTAAAGTTAGTTCGATTGAAACTTATCAATTAAATAAATAAACAACAAGAGAAATATCTTGGATTAGTACTAGACCGAAAATTAGATTTTAAAGATCACATTGAGGGCATTCAAGCCAAATGTAGCAAATATATCAAATGTTTGTTTTCTCTTATAAACAGGAAATCCAAACTTTGCCGAAATAATAATTTTCTAATATTTAAGCAAGTTTTTAGACCGGCCATGCTTTATGCTGTGCATATACATTGGAGTGATGCAAAATTTGAAATTTTCGCTCCGCAATACTTAAACGATTCCAAATCGGATCCTGACTAACCTCTCAAAATTTGAACCCATTTGCATGTAAACTGAGATGGCACAAACCATTTGATTACTATGGTAAAACCAAAATTTTTGTTCATGTCTATCTAATAATTCACCATATCGGTCTGCTTCAAAAGCTTTCAACTGTGCGTGTAGGAAATTTATCAATGGTTCAATGCGCTGGTGTCTTTTGGTCATGCTCAATCAACTGCTCAGCAGGCAACATTGGTGTTTCTGGGGCGTTGAATAGGACACAAAAACATGGCTACTATGTCACACTGCAAAATACAGCGTTGCCTACAGAGCAGCTGCTTGATCATGTCATAAGTTTACCAATCTCTTAAATAATTAATAACTTTTTCCTGCCTCGTTTTACATAGAAACGATCTTGAGCAAAGTTGTAGCTGAGAAAATTTTCTATAAGAATAGTTATAAAACTGTTTCGCAGCTCAATATGGAAAAAAAAACTAGAAGGCAATGAACAAAAAGTTGAGATTTCCCATAGTAATTTACATGTAAACTTCAAATAGCTTGTGCGAAGTCTGTTTCTAACCAAATGAGTTGTAACTTTGGGAGTCTAATCAGGACCTGATTTGAAATCATTTAAGCAGTGTGAAGCAAAAAGTCAAATTTTGCATCAGTCATACATATAGCCTAGTTGTTGCATTATCAGAAAAAAAGCACTTCAAAGGATTCAGAACACAGTTCTGAAGATGATTTTGAAGTATTACCAAGGTACATAGAATTTTGTATATTGGCTGCGCGTGTGAACGAACATGACGTTCGTTTTTTTTTCTCGGTGTTATGCTTATTTGGTTGTTGATCCGGCTAACATGTTCGAAGATGGCCAAGAACGCGATTATCCGTTTCAAAAGGAATCAAACCATCTATGCAGGAGAAGCCCTGCGAGAACTGCATCGCATCTCCAAGGGATACTGGCTGTACGTCATGCTGCTGTACTGACGGTAATTTGCCGTGGACATACGGTTTCTAAAACGAAGAGGAACCTTTATTGGAACCAAGATATTCCATTGTTTGTGGTATTCGCGTCTAAAAATTGCAAGTTGCTGGACCTGATACTTGGCTACCTTTTCTCGAATCCAGCAATCGACTACAGCCGATTATCTTTTATCCCAAGCCAGAGCATCACTACATTTGGACGCTTCAAACTGGTTCTACATAGGACGGGACTAGTGTTGATCCCCATCAAGCGAACCGGCTTTGATTGGAACTACAATGCAACAATAACACGGATGCTTTCTGTGGATTCATTTGGACTAACTTGGTGTATCTGATTTTATCTATTTAAACTAAATTTAAATTATTCTCTTAAATTTGACAAATTCTTAATGGAGTTTTCTCCACGCATCCTATTTTTTGTGTCTTTGCCAAATGGATTGCCTGCACAGTTACTGTAAATCATATACGTTAAAACATTATATTATGTACTGGATTGGGGGCAGCCTAAGGGAATTAAAGGATTTGTTGACTGGATGAGGGTTCGTGGATTTGCCAGTCCTTTGTCACGTGATTACAGATGGCCATCTGGTTGTTTTGTCTTCCAAGGTCTTCAATGAAGCTGATTCACTGTCCGCTGCAACAAACCATCTGGCAGAATTTTACAACCGGTAAAGTATCTGCAGACATTGGTAATCCTTGCACTGATGGTGGATTCCATTCACATCACATCACATAAGATGTCAATTGTTATACTGATATGCAGGTATAGAAAACCTGTTTAAAAATAATGAATTTCCAAGGCAGGAACAATTGTATTTAAAGCATTCCGGTAACAACCCAATTGCGTGACTTCATTATGATGGCTACCAAGCCTTTGGGGATTTTTCCTTATTAGAGATTTGTATTGATTTTTCTCCTTAAATTTACTACTTAGTTTACTTGAATCTTTGGTTTTTTAGTTCAGTAGGTTCCGATTCTGCACATTTTAGTTTCATTTTTATACTTGTGATCTTGACATTTTTACCTAGGGGATGAGTACTTAAGGGGGTTAGGTTTTGATAAGTCTTTAGTAGGAATGACACTGATGAAAACTGCACATTGCAGCCGAAATACGTTTTTGTCATGGATACCAAAATAAATTAAGTGGAATTAAATGGAAGATAACCTTCTTGCTGTTTTATTTAAAGCATTCCGCAACCCGTTACTTGTTTAAAAAATTTAGGAATATCTGGAACACATTTTAAAAATCTGGAAATGAACATGATCTGTCTCTGTATTTGCCAAGACGACTGAAAATCTGGAACAACCAGATAAATCTGGAATACTGGCAACGCTGTCTGCCAGCGTGCATTGGCACTGTCTTCTATAGTAGGATCTAAGTGATGGGGTCAATTTAAAGCGAAATGGACTTTCAAAATGTCCTAAATTTTTAGGTTAAGCATCTAGAAGTTTTAATTTTCTGAACTTTTTCTCTATTGTGGAGACTGATAATTCTCCATTGAATAAATTAGCCATATCGGTTAGAGGTTGAAATCATTGCTCGTAATGGTTTTAGAATGCATTGCTAATTTTCCGGCGGAATTACACTTTCATTGGTCAAATATCGTGTCTTCAAGAAAGCGAAAAATATTGATATAATATATTTGATAGACAATCAAATACTCTCAAGGATTCCCTTATTTGCGCCTCAGACAGCTCTCAGATTCTTGTGATTGAGTAAACGTAGACCTGCTCCATGCTTCACAGGAGATCTTCCGGTATGTTGTCCTACCTGGATATTATGGAAAATCTCAGTTTTATTTCAATCTCTCCCACTCATAATAAACTAATCATACATTCTATTTATGATTTCCTTATTCACCGCCACATTCCGTACGTACTACATACTACATTTTCTGACGCTCTCAACGGTTTACCTGTGACGCGTTTTCAACGGCAGTAGAAGTCTTGATGTGCTTCCCCTCAAAACAAACTACCATATTGGGGAGTCTATTTTTAACCATCCGAAAGAAACGTGCCTCACCCGACTCTGTTGATTCACACTAAAAATACAAACGTAAACATCGTATATAGGTGAACTTAGCCGGTGTGGTAAGCTGGGTGTGTGAGCATAGTGCATCAACAGATTTATCTCTGAATGATGCGTTCGCCTTCGTCGTCGCATAGAAGAGTGAGAATGAGATAATCTCTCATTTCGAAGATGTTTTAAAATTTTCGAATTGGTGAGAAAATTGGTGTGGGGTTTTTCGATTGACGAGAGCATAAACTTGTATGGTCATAAAGCAAAGCATGTTGGGAGCGGTGGGTTCGACTGCCCATACGGGTAATAATAAGCCATTTAGCGGTAACTTTGAAAACATTTGTCTTGTACTGTGTTGAGCGCATGTATTTGTTCCAAAAGGAATGCAATACACAAGAAAAATAAAGTAAAGAGAAAATGAGGGAGAATTTTCCTCATTCTGACACCTGAGAGAAAATCTTATAAAAGCGAATTTCCACCAGAGTTTCAACGCAGTTTGATCGTTACATTGAAGTGTGCGGCTGAATAAGTTACTTAACTGGCTAGTTTGGCGTTGTAAAAATTTTCACTAGCGCAGGAATGTCAAAGGTGAGCAAATTATGATGGAATTTTAATTGAGTTGAAATGAAGTGAAGAAACGGTTTCATTGTAATAAAAAAAAAGCCAAGACACACATCCTTGAGATCTCGTGGAATACAGTGAAAAAATGACGTGAGAAAATATAGAGAATTTCATAATTCTTCTGTATGACTCATGGTCAGCAGCAACTCAATGGGGTTTGCTATTTCGGAAATAAAGAAATGCGTGGGGGTTGTGTAAATTACCTGCAGGGAAGTGAAGCTTCTAGAAGTGAAAATTTGCGTTCCATTGGTGCGAATCATTAGATATTTTTGAAAAGCAACGCTAATATTAGAAAGCCGGTGAATCAAGGTAACATAACTATCATCATTCCAGATGTCTCTGGTTCCAATGGTGTTCCGTGATTGGTGGGATGATTTCGATACACCATTGCGTTCTTCCCGTCTGCTGGATCAGCATTTTGGCACAGGACTGCGGTAAGAGATTGAATATCTATAGAACACCCATTTATCAACATTGATTGATTTCACACCATTATCCTTCATCCATAGTGCCGACGACCTGTTCTCGTCACTTTCCACTCGTACCCCAACATCACCGCTGCTACGCTCCGGCTACTACCGACCATGGCGCAACACTGCGCTCGCTCGACAGGACTCTGGCTCTACTCTGAACATGGATAAGGACAAGTACCAAATCATCCTGGACGTGCAGCAGTTCATACCAGAGGAAATCACAGTCAGAACCACCGATAACCACATCATCGTCGAGGGAAAGCACGAGGAAAAACAGGACGAGCATGGTTTTGTTTCGCGCCATTTCACCCGTCGCTACACGTTGCCAAGTACGAAAATGTGGGTTCAGAAACACTAGCACTTACTAACACATTTTTTTTAAATTTCCGAGCAGGTGGTCATGACCCCAACGATGTCGTCTCGACGCTTTCGTCCGACGGGGTACTGACCGTGACGGCGCCGAAAAAATCACTTCCGGCTCCGAATCCGGAACGAAGCGTTCCAATTCAGCAGACTGGACAACCTGCAAAGGAACTACCATCGGAGCCGAAAATCGAACAGGTCAAATGAAAAGTGTGTGTTGTGATTGCAAAGGGGTTTCAGAAATCGAAATGCTATTGAATTGATGTTTTGTATTTTATGTTTTCCGTCAACGAAAGTATTAGCAGCGTTTTATTTTGTCTGTTGTAGCTGAGCATTTGAATAAAGATTTTTTTTTCGATACTTAATGATGTTTTTGATCTTGTTTAGTTGTAAGTATTATTCGTTAGTTGAAATTCACCCATTAGATTAATTCTACGAACTTTGTTGTCTCGCTTGTTAACCTTATGCAGAGGTTTGGTTTATGTAGCCTTACACCTTGTACAGACATAGAGTAGGGTGGGGCAAAAGTTCGTTTCGAGGTTTTCGAAGCCTATACAGAATGAAACTCAATGTTTTGGCACCTGTTTGGAAGGTCTGCAAGTCCCCATAAAAATCACAAAAATAGGTGGCGTTTTCGAAGAATTGTAGACAAAAGCATGTTTCGGGATACTAAATTATAACATTTTACCAACTTTGGGGGCGTACAACTGGAAAAATTCAATAGTGAAGGGGTGCTTTTAGTTCAGGGCATGATACCGTTTTTTCTTGAAGATGATTTCATGAGTATTAGATTTTTGATATGTCATCAGGAAATTGTCTGCATGGGGGAAATGGATGTATTATCGGCCTAAATGCCCCTTATTTGGGCCCATACTTAAATTCAGCAATCGACTAAATTTTCAATAGCACCCAAAAATATCCATAAGTACCGTCCCAACGCGTCCCAAACGCGTCATCTAGATAAAATTGATAAATAGCAGGTTTTTAGCGATGGGCCCAATCTTAGATCCATAGGCCAACATAAGTACCTATTTTCAAATCAGGCGTTAAATCCGGCATTAGAAATTATCGTGGAGTTGCTATTATTTCTTGCATTCTAAAACTTTTTTAATCATTCGCAAATGATAAAAAATTTCAGCAGGTGAAAAACTAATTACAAGTAAACATCACGGCTTTTTTAAAGCTCGGTCAACTACCTCTAATCTTCTAGAATAGGGTAGAGCGCTACTTCATCGTAATCGCCCATTTCCGTTCTATCAATCAGAAAAGATCAATAATATCATTGATTTCACCATGCAGAAACCAATAATAGGCTTGTTCCGATGCGTTAGTTCATTAGCTACAACATAAACCCTGTTAGTGCGCATTGTATGAATATTTACGCTTATTTTTCTCAAAACAAAAGAAGCGCTCCTGGCGAATCTCCTTTTTCTACGCTTATCCGTAGGACGAAGAAAATCTAGTAGCGTTCTTAGCAGTATTTGATTTGAAACAATATCTCAACTATGTGTGACTCTGTATGTGAATAAATTTAGAAGTCATCTTTGACAGAAATATTCCATTTTTTTAAAACTCGTTCAGAAAAGTAGGACGGAAATAAGATCACAAACTCTATGTGTTTTTTTTTCATTTTTAACGCGATGGACAGTGACAAACACGTTGAAGCGCTATACACTGACTTCAGTTAAGCATTTGACCACATCGACATACTATTATTAATCCTCAAATTGCAAAAAATAGGAATGGAGCATGGATTTTTGAATTGGCTTCATCCATACATAAATTCAAAACAAAACATTTTATGGGTGGATTTCGACAGTTTTTGACCTACTTCATACGACCGGAAAGTGTATGCTGGTCACAAATGCCGTGCTAAACTGATTTCCTACGCAATTAATCAACCTTTGATGTGAATTTCGCTAATAAACACGAGGAGCATTTCTTATAGCAAAACTTGCCATAACAAAATGGACATGGTTCATTTTAGTAAACAAACTAACACTTCTTCCTACTGTGTGACCTTTGTATTACCCACCTAAGCTCTGGGGTACCCCAGGGTTCTCATTTAGGCCCACTTTTTTATTTTGTACATAGACGACATCGCCTACACACTTAGAAATAACTAACTTCACACGTGACGGAATCCATCTTTGACGTAAAAGATGAGACGTAAACAAACATGCCATGTAATATTAAGTGCTCCGAGACTGGAAAGTTCGTTGCTCGACAAAAAGTACGTTTGATTAAGCTATATATCGCATCTGTTATGACTCAAGTTTATGTCAATATGAACCCTCGTATATGTCACTCTCAGAGCACGTAATTTTACATGTTTTTTTTTTAAGAGTGTACTGTCATACTGTCACCAAGTGGGGGGACATTTGATGGTTTTCACTGGTGATACATTGGCCATTGGTTTTGATTGATGGTACCTTGTGGAAGGTATCACATCTGCTAAGGGACATGAATTTGATAGGCTTGAACGTGTGTAATTGGGTGATGGTAGGATACATCACAATCTGCTATACGATAGGCTTCGAGGTTGCGTAGTTCTGAGTCGATTAGAGCTGTTTCGGGAATGTTTTTTTTTTCTAGGGTGGGAGTGAACATTCGTCCGTTCAAGTTCTGGGTTTGAATTTGTTGGGGAGCATTTTACTGGCAGCTGGTAAAAATTTCGTCCTCCGTCCGATTCATGTGGACGGCCCGGTTGTGGGGTGTATGAATTATTGAATGAATTACTATTCATCATCGCATAACATCCATTGCCGAACCCCTCGGTAAACTGTCAGTTGGATGAACACATTCATCCCTTCTCAGCTGAGCAGTAGCTAAACTAGTGTCGGTGTATAATGAGTCACGCCAAGAGTGAAGCCAAGTCCACCTATTGAACTGTCAAACTGGCTAACTATCGAGCAAAGTAAACAAGCATTACGATGCTATGAAAGGTGTACGAAAAGTATTGCAATAAAATGTAAAATATAATCGAAGAAATGATCATAAATACGCAGTGAGCATTAACTTGTCATGGGATACGTTTAGTAATGACCAGTAATGAGAATTTCTACTATTTTTTGTTAAGATAATTTGACAAAATAACTGATAAAATGATTTACTACAGCTGCTATTTTTATTTATGGCTAGAAGTCATTTGAAGTTGATGTAGAAGTCCTCTGTTGCCAAGTGAAAAGAAAGGGAATCTTTCAAAAACCGTGATGCGAGTTAAACTGTTTTTCTCTTGGCGTGACTCATTATACACCGACTCTAAGCTAAACAAGCGAGCGGCACATTCGTCCTCTTTTCGGTAGCAGGCCATCGGGCCGATAGGACGCGCGTGCTGGGTGTTTCTCATCCAGGACATATTATCGGATTCCACAATGGCGATTCCTGCCAGTACATTGTTTTTAAAATTGAGCAGCCTGTATATTCCTTAGCATGAGAAGTACCCAACACGTAAACCGCTGTAAAAGTTCTCAAAGTTTAAAAATGAATTTTAGCTACAGAATTAAGCTACAGAATTTGCGCGGTGGAAGCCATTTTAATTCTTCGAGATTATGCTCAAAATGTAGTTCAAGACATTACCGAGCTGTTTGATTTGTTGATATTCGTTGGTGTATACGATTGGTGGATCGCGAGTGTTGGCCAAATAATTGTGAAACAATCGATAATTGGCTGCATAAGAGTTGTGATCTGCATTGGTATTGATATTTGTTTTTCTTAATGTGGCGTTCAGCATCCATGAACAGAGATGCCAGGTTTATTTATAAAAAATCTGGCAAAACCCGAAAAAAAATGTCTGGCGAAAATCTGGCACAGCAAATTAACATAGGAAGCTGCCAGATTTCTCAAAAAATCTGTCTGGCAGAGCAACAATTTCTCTGGCTGTGCCAGATAAATCTGGCAACCTGGCAACGCTGTCCATGAAGGAAAAATAACATGACACCGATAGCGGGTATGCACCGCTAAAAGCAGTTCGCTGGGACGGCCACTGAAGAAAATTTCGATTATTACGATGTGGGACGCTCGCAGGAAAAATCGATAGTGAGCTGGGACAGCCACGGATTCTGTCATTGCGGAGTGAGACGCCGGCAGAATAATTAAAAGTGAGCCGGGATGGCCACGAATTCTATCATTGCGAAGTGAGACGCCGGCAGAATAATTAATAGTGAGCTGAGACGGCTACTGAGTAAGAATTACGCCGTTGTAGAGTTTTCAGTAGTTAGTATGATTTCATTATGTTTCTTCTTCTAATACCTTGGCTGAAAATCTCCTTAATAAAGACAACCAACCAACATAATAGGTTTGACCCAAGGTCCCAGCACGTCCCTTCTAATGCACAAGTTCCAGCGGCAATTAATGACGTACTCTTTGATCGAACGCAGAGCATAAGGGTACTGAGATGCTAGTTCTATCTCATTGGCTAATTAGTAGTCTGGAAGAACTGAGCTTGCTGTAGAGACCGATAAGAGTACAAACTCGATGAGGATGCTGATCACGACGGAAATATCAGTGAGAATACCGTGATACTGTGAGTCGAGGAAGGCAAGGACACAGGTGATCAGCGAGAGTGGTATGAGCCGATTCCATACATAACACAGGTTGTTGATTGGACGATGTTTGGTAGCTTTATGCTGGTTGATATGTGACCACTAAAGCTTCCGGCTGTTACCTAATCATTGTGGATAACGTCTATTTCTAGAACTATGTTTGAAGAAATAGACATTAAACTGTGTTCGTAGAGTTTATTTGTATCAGTAAGCAGATACACATCATACAGGGAAATCATTGCGTGGGTATCGATTATTTTATTATGAAGCTTTCGTTGAAGAATGTTTTAGTTGAAATAGTGGGAATCATTTATCATCAAGTTCGTGTGGAGCAAGCTTAATTGGAAAGGATGGAGCTGTTTCAGTCTTTTGCTTTTCTGCTCGTCATCCCAGATTAAAATCAAAATCAATAATTTATAATTTATTTAATATCTATATAGGGTAAATTATGGCTTCGGCACCCATTGACTGTTTTCGGCAACCGAAATTGAAACGATAATTTCACTGTATTTTCCCATCAAAACTCTTCGCTGAATGTATTAAGCCGATTCCTTACCTTTTCAGCTTCAATCTGATTACATTTTTACGACTGTGCAATCCTGTTCTTCCATATTTTTCTTTAAATGAAATATACACACTACATAATACGGTTGATTTCGAGTTGCCGATAATAGAACAGCTGGTTAACACGCAGTTCAAATGGAAAGGGTGCCGAAGAAAAAGAGACTGCCGACAATAGTCACACTTACCTGAGAAGTTTGGAGCGTTGTAAAAACATGTTCAACCCGTTTTGATCAATTCTGTCGATTG